GGCATTGTGAGCTAATGTAGTTATCTGATTTCCAGTCCTCGGTGGGATTTCTGGATTTGAATCCAGGAGCACCTTAGAAACCAGCAAGGTTTTAGGGGTATAAGCTTTTGAGAGACTGAACTCCTGATCTATCTGATGAAGGGCGCTTTGTCTCTTGAAAGCTTGTTCACCGAAAATCTTGAAGCCCAGCGGCACCTTTAAGGCAAGCAAAGCTTTGTTCAAGGTATAAGCTTTTGTGTGCACACACACTTATTCAACTACATTGAAATGGAAGTTACCAGTTCATACATATAGGTAGTGGGTGAGCAGCAAATTAGCATAAGCATGATGAAGGTCGTTTAACAGATGCAAGGACTTGAATTTTGCTCTGTTGCTTCAGACCAACATGGTATATACCTGTCAGCTATGCTGCCATAGGGGTTGGGGAGTTCATTCTTGGTAATTGCTGTTGTATTCCTATCTCTGCTGTTCTGCCTGTGCCGTAATGCTTATCTCTACAGATGTGCAGGAGGATCTTGTCTTGGGGGTTGTATTGTCTGGAAGTCTCCTATGGTCTATTTGGCCTGGTCAAAAAGTGACTCTGTCGTAAATATTGACATAGCGAAAGGTTAAACCGCTCCCTGGAGCCTCCGGAAAGCAAGGATTTTGTTGTTTTCCATCGGATTAGACACAACGCTGAGCTGTTCTTCCGCTTACCAAAAACTTGCTGGTTGTTTGTTATTCTGCCTAACTCAGGATTGTATCCAGGTGGGACTAATGAACAAGAGGGCAAACTTGGCATGGGTAGGAGGGTGGAGACTGTTTAGCCCCCAGGAACAGAGAGATGCAGGGGTCATTTCCGGCAGGAGCACACAGGACCGGAGATCTGGCAGTAAAGAGCCCAGGGGACGGGCACATGCAACAAGCCCCACCCCCTGCTCCCAGCAGCCCTCAGTCAGAGCAAGAAGCAGCCAGGGAAGTTGCAGAGCCAAAACAGTCCAGTGGCACCTTTAAGACCAAGTTTTATTCAGGTACAAGCTCTCCCTCCTCTGCAAAGGACAGACCTGCACATCCTCCCCCCCAATAGCTAGCAATCCAAAACAGTCCAGTGGAGCCTGAGCGGTGGGTGTTGCCTTCTGACACACTTCTGGTGATGTCAGGGGGCGTGGCCTATGCAAATACGTTATGCTAATGAGTTATGCTAATGAGCTCCTGCACCTCTTTTTCTACGAAATGACCCCTGGAGAGATGCAAACTATTATTTATTTATTTACACCTGGCCATTGTCCCCTGAGGACCCAACATGACTTAATGTCATTCTTCTCTCCTCCTTCTTGTCCTCACAGCAGCCTTGTAAGGTAGGTTAGGCTGAGTGGGTGTGAGTGTGCTTGAATCTACCAAAAATCTTGTCAATCTCTAAGGGGCTCCTCGCTTGTTATTTCTCCATTGTCCTTCACAGAGGGAAAAGTCAAAACAGGGAAAGAATTCATTTAGGATGACACCACCTTCTTTTCTTGCTTGCGAGCTGACCGACCTCCGCTCATTCTCTCCCTTAAGAACATAAGAACATAAGAGATGCCAATGTTGAATCAGGTTAATGGCCCATCTGGTCCAACACTCTGTGTCACACAGTGGCCAGAAATACCAGGTGCCCTCAGGAGGTCCAGCAGTGGGGCCAGGACACTAGGAGCCCTCCCACTGTGACCCCCTCCCAAGCACCAAGATGACAGAGCATCACTTGCCCCAGAGTCCCTATCTATACCTTGTGGCTAATAGCCACTGATGGACCTCTGCTCCATATGCTTATCTAATTCCCTCTTGAACCCATCCATGCTGGTAGCTGCCACCACTTCCTGTGGCAGGGAATTCCAAGTGTTAATCACTCTTTGGGTGAAGAAGTACTTCCTTTTATCCGTTCTAACCCGACCGCTCAGCAATTTCATGGAGTGCCCACGAGTTCTTGTATTGTGAGAAAGGGAGAAAAGTACCTCTTTCTCTACCTGCTCTTTCCCATGCATAATCTTATAAACCTCAATCATGTCACCCCTCAGTCGCAATGCATGGCTAGGAATAAAAGCTAAAGAGCCCCAAGCGCCTTAACCTTTCCTCATAGGGAAAGTGTTCCCTTAGACCATCTGCATGGTGCCTCATGATTCTGCTTCCTTCCGCCGTCCTCCACAAACCCACCTTGTATGGTGAAGATCTTGATATAAATCCTCCAAGCAGAATTTCACATCACCCCAGCCAGTGTCTTGTTCCCAGACTCACCTTTACGGAACTAGAATGGATATGGTGGAAAGGGATGTTCATAGGAATCGGCGGTGAGAGAGAAAGAACTAAACTCTTCCCACTGGTTCTCTTCTACAAATGCTCCCTTCCCCCCTTTCCCTAGTTGTTCTTACTTCTTTCTGGCCTGGGAGTGGAATTATGCATTCGGCGAAATCCCATGATCATAGAAACATAGAATGTTAGAGTTGGAAGGGACCTTGGAGGTCACCTAGTCCAACCCCCTGCACTCTGCAGGAGCAGAGCCGAAAGAGACCCCTACAACAGACCCGAAAGATGGCCGTCCAGCCTCTGCTTGAAAACGTCCAGCGGAGCCT